AAGAACCACCTTCAGGGGGTCACTCTGGGCTGCAGATTAGAAAGGCAGGCATGGGATAATAAATAGGATACTAAAGTATTCTAGAGTAGGCATAGGAGCATGGGTCCCTAGACATGGAAGAAATAGGAATTTCATTTATTTCTTCAACAGCTACCTAGTCAACTCCTTATTTTTTACATATTTTTCAACTGTCTGGTCATGAGAGACGTGTGCAAAGACCCATACATACAAAATCCCTGCATCCAATACATGCCCACAAAAAGTCTTGCACACAAATGTTCATACAAGCTTTATTCATCATTGTGGAAAACTGGAAATAACCAGATATTCTTCAACAGGTGAATGGATAAATGGACTGTACTACATCCCTGAAATTACTCAAAAAGTCCTGTAAGACTATGTCCAATAGGAAAATAATATGACTTACCTGTGAACACCAGGCCATAAGAAATAAGAAAGTAAGGCAGTGAGGAAGAAGGCATTAGATGTAGGGAGAAGAAAACCAAGAGTTATTTTTAAAACAGGCAAGACTGACATAATCTGTGTTGAGAGGAATGAGAAAAATTAAGGCAGAAGAAGGCTGGTGGCCCTGCAGAATATGGGCTTATCAAGATGAGAAGGAAGCACAGAATACTAAACCTTTACCCTGAAGCAGAGAGTATGTTAACTACTCAGTCTTCACAACAACCCTGGGGAGGTAAGCACTATCCTCCAGCTATGAAAGATAAGCAGATATTTGGAACCTGGCAGTCCGGTGCTAGAGCCTATGCCTTCTGCGCTGTGCTTGTCTACTTTAGTGGATGACATAAAAAGTCAAAGGGCAGGGGCTTTTGAACTAACCAACCGCCTGGACTGAAAAGCCTAACTTATAAAGGACTGTTCCAGTTACTCAGAACACAGGATAAAGAATAACCCAGCAGGGCTAGTTACTTGGCTATGGCCTTGGTTTGGTACACACTTATAGGCAGGAAAATGATGAGGCTTATACCATCACAGCCCATAGGGACCATCTTTGTATTTTTTGCTTCATTCTTCTCATCCGTTCCTCTAGGGTCTTCTTACTTGTGAGAGTAGCTTCTCAGTGGACAGAGGACTAAATGGGGAACAGGCCAAAGGTTTATCTCCTATGGTGCCTGCTCTTTACATTCCCATCCAAGCCCCCAGTCTAGGAAACTTACATGGAAATTCAGGTGCCCTTCTTGATGGGTGAAAGTCGGTCTTGTGAACTCCCTCAGAAACAGCAGGTTGAAAGAAAAGGTCACCCTTCATGTATCTCTCCTTAACTCAAGTATCTGAATACCACCGTTAAAGATACATTCTTTCTATCATTGCTGGGCTGAATAGCAGGTTAGATGTGAATGAATAAGATCATGAGATCCTGGCAGTGGAGAAAGAATCAACTTGGAGTCTTGAAACTATGAGTGGAAGTGGGGAGGTTGGAACAAGAAGGAGGACATCTTGTGAGTGGGGTATGTAGAAATCTGATGAATCTGAATGATTGAAATCCAGTCGTTCACAGTCACCATAGTCTTTCACGGGATTCTAACATCTGGCAGAACAGCATTCTTCAGAACAGAATGTGATGAGGGCATTAGGATTGCAAGTTCAAGTTCAACTCAGCAAGACCCTGTCTCTAAATGAAAACATCTAAAAATGTCTGGGGATGTAGCTCAGTGATCCCTAGATTCCATCTCCGGTACCGTAAAAAAATGACTAAGATGGTACATTTTACATTATGTATATTTAATCAATTTTTAAACAGGATAACTGAGACATCTTCTATTTTCACTACACTCTTTTCAGAGGAAGACTCAGGCCCCTGATTTGACTATGATTTATGACTCTGTCCCCCCTCAAAACACTGCTGATGTGGCACTGGCAGGACCGCCTCTTTCCTTGCACTACGGCTTAGCACAGAAGGCAGAGTTGCCTTACCATGCTGTCTTCTTGGACAGACTGTAGGTTAAGTAACAGAAGAGCTAAAAAGTGACTTTCCATCCGACATTATCACTAAGGTCATTGTTTAGTTCACCTAAACTGGCTACTGACCCATGTAATCTGTTCATACGTGGTGGTCCTCAACCATGTTCCCTTATCTTTCCTTGCTCCTCCTTCTCTTACAAAGTCCACAGAGCCTGATTCTTGCCTTCATTCTCTTCTCTCATACCTTCTAGCAATCCCTGAGGAATTGGGTCTTTAAAATTCTAGACTACAGTCCTGGTGAAGCCCTGTAAATAAAGCATTATTACAATATTTATTTATTTATTTATTTATTTATTTTTGGTACTGGGGATTGAACTCGGGACCTTGAGCTTGAAAGGCAAGTGACGGAACCACTGACCTAAATCCCTGGCCTATAATATTTTATTTTGAGATGAGGGACTTCACTATGTTGACCAGGCTATCCTCAAACTATTTTGGGTCAAGTGATCCTCCTGCCTCAGCCTCCCATGGATCTAGGATTACAAATGTGCATCAGCCATGCATGGCTTGTCATAATTTTTTAAAAGGGAACCATGGGCCTGAAGGGAACGGGAATTAGAGCAAGACAGTGAGACAGTTATGTGTGCTTTTCTAGCCAGCCAAGATTTTGAGAATGAGGATGAAACTCTCAGAAATCTGGGAGCTCGTGATTAAGTACAGTATTGGCAATCTTTTTTTGTATACACTCTACATAGTGGAAAGTTCTCTTCCTTTCATTTCCCCTGCCTAACTGCTCGTGTACTCTTACAAGGAAGAAAAAGGAAAATATAACTTAATAGCATGTATACTCATAATTTATATACTTTTCTCAGTCCTATCCCCTATGTGATCTCAGTTGAGCCTCAAATCAACACAGTGTGGAGTCTACAGCCCAGAGGGGTTTAGTAGATCACTAGGTGAAACAAAGCCCATTCACTGGCAAAGCTAGGGCTGGATACCATTTCTTCTGATTCCTGGTCCTATGCTTTCTCCAAAACATCACAATGCCTTCGATTTAGTCACTAAGATTGCTTGGAAAGCAGTCCAGACCTTGCTCTCTCTGTTGATACAAATTATGTGTAGACCTTGAGTTTATAAAAGTAATGTCAAATTGGGAAGGAGCTGGTAAATAGAATTAAATGAAAGACTCCATTTATATCCTTCCAGAAGAGTAAAATCAACAACAAAGAAATATGTCTATAATGAAGAGAAGCTTCTGTTTATTTTTGTACTTTTTTATGGTGCTTGGGATTGAACCCAGGCACTCAGTCATGCTAGGCAAGTGCTCTACCACTAAGTTACATCCTCAGCCCTACTTTTATACTATTCGTGAGCACTTTCAGACAGTTGACCTCAAAACATCTCCTAGTACTTTTTTGTTAAAAGTCTCAAATTACAAGCAAGTAAACATGATCTCTCCTCTGCTTCATCATTATTTGACAGCAGAGGTCTGAACCTGAATGTAAATGGGATCTGGGATCTGATATGTAGAGTATAGAAACAGACTGCTATGTGGAGTGAAAAAGACAACCATTCTAATTTATTAGAATGTTTGTCATCTTTGAAATAACATTAAGGACAAAGCTAACATCTTCTCTATTTGTACAGTCAGCTCATGCTATTTGGGAAAACACCAAACCTGGGAGTTGGCTAAGCGTGTAGTTTTCTTTCCTTTCTGTATCTTTTGCTGACCACAATATGATGACATCAATGCTGTTGACAACCCCACTGGCTGGGAGACAGCTGAGTGCCCAGCCTTCTGGGAAGCTCTATTATCTGGGGTTCAGTTGCAGCTATGAAAGTGGTTGAAAAAAGCAATTGGGTAGTAAAGCAAACTGCTCTCCTTCAGGCCAGTTCGCTTTTCTCACAAGGAGCTTTATATAGCTACTCTGGTTACAAGTTCTTAATGGGTACATTAAGTCATCGTAAAAGGTTGAAGTGTTTTCTACAGCAGGAATGTTTTGCCATGGGATTTGTTTCCCACAGATGGGGCATTAATGCTTATTTATAGGCATTACCCCAACTATTCCCAGATTTAATTTGGGGTAAAAAAAGTTGTAATGTCTACAGAAAAAATGTCACAAATATATTTACAATACATCAACACCTACAGAAGTGATTATGCTTCATTATCAAAATAACTTTGTGTCCCCAGTTATATAAGATAAATGATCAACAATTTTTTACTTACAAGGGCTTCAGACTGCTCACCTTCCCCACCCCTAGCACTGCTGTATATCAGGCACTCCCTCCACATCCCCTCAAGCCTCTCTGCCTGGCTGGGATGGCTTTCACAGCATCTCCTCTCATACAGTCATTGCTTTGGAATGCTGTCCAACCCCTGGCCTCCTCTTGAAGGGGAGGGGGCTACCTTAGGGCTGGAACTTGCTAAGGCAAGAAGGAGGTCATGAGTTCGTGGCCAGCCTGAACTATATAGCTAGACCCTGTCTCAAGAAACCAAAAAATTAAAAATTATATTTTGTAATAACAATGAGCCTGGGAGGCTTTTCTTTTCTTTTCAGTGCATCCTAAAACAATGAAAAAGGAAAGTGAGATATCATTATTTGACACTCATATTTGATAGGGCTTCAGAATTAAGAAAAAAGAAGGAAGAAGTAATAAAGCAGGTATAACTTTTGAAATACTTAAAAATTAATTCATTTAATTAAATGAACCTTTCCTTTCCTATGCTTCCCAGGGTGATCTTGAGCTTCTGGCCTCAAGTGATCCTCCTACCTCAGAGGTAGCCAGGACTATATGCACACACCACTGTGCCCACCTTAAACATTTTTTTTCACCCACAATTATATGTATCATATTGAACATGGCCATATAAATAAAAATATTACAACAACTCAACTACCAAATCCAAATACTCTTTCCAAAAGCAAAAAAGATTCTTTCCCTATATAAAACTGAGTCTCAAGGCTGGGATGTTTGAGAGAAGAGACATAGGTTATTGTTTAAACCATTTATTACCTGCTTCTGACATTTCCCAGGGTTACAGAGCAGGGGATCTCAGATTCTCATGTTCCATGGATGGAGCTGACACTGTGACAACAACTGAATCAGTATAGGGAATGCACTTTGAAGTTTTGGGATAATACAGCAGTAATGTTTACCCACAGCAGATGGTCAAGCTATTAAAACTCAGTCAAATTACCTTTGAGATGATAGCTGGGGAGGAAAGAAAACCACACAGTTTGAGGTCATAGATCTTCCCCTCCTGTTAAGCACCCTCCCCCTTCAGTCTCCATAAGTCCATTCCAGACTGGTCTGGGCATCCAGCTAGCTCCTGCTAAAAGGCAAAGGGGGGAAACCATATCTGAGGTCTCTTCATTTTCTCTGTTTCTATCCCTAAGGCAACAGGAAGCTGGATCCGCTGCAGTGAGGCTGACCTGGCAGTGATGGGAAGCCCAATGGCTCTGCAGAGTGAGCAGTCCCTGACAAGCCTCCAGAGCAGCTGCCAGTTAGATGGCCCAGAGTTCTGACAGATTTCATCCTTCAGTTCAATGCCCAGTGTTGTATATGTTGGATCCAGTTCCCAAAGGGCCAGAGCATGGTATCAGGGCTGTCTGAAGACAAAAGGGCAGAGGCAGTTTAGTGCTCTTGGATGTGCTGTGTGTGAGCAGAGGCATGGGAGGAGAGGAGGACAAAATTGGCCAGGAGTGAGTAGGGAGGTCTCCTTCCAGGGCCTTCCAGACAAGGTCTCCTGACCTCACATCACTGTCTAACTCTCAGGTGATGAGAACCCTGGAAGGGAAAGAAAGGTCAGGAGCCGCGCCCAGAAATAAGCAAGATGAGGAGGGCGCGCGTCCAGAGAGCTAGAGAGCTGGCGCTGTGGTTCTAGACCCTCTCGGTGCCCTGGTCGAGGGTAGGCAGCATTTCAGGGGCGAGCAGTCTGCGGCCTTCAGCCAGGAAGCCGGCGGCAGTCTCGGCGTTTGTGGCCAGGGCGCCCCCAGAGGCCCGTTGGGGCAAGGCGGTGCAGGTCTGGGTTGGCTCCGCCTTGTCCTTGCGGAGCTTTCGGGAGCGAGTGTAGGCCAGGACAAAGCCTCCGGCCAGGCAGGCGTAGAAGATCATGATGAGCAGGATGTAGAGATAGGCATCGTCGCCCTTGGCGCTGGTCACCTCGCGGCCCCCGAAAGGGTCAGGCACGACCCCCATGCCCATGCTCGGGTCGGAGCCAGCGCCCAGGCCGCTGGCGTTGCCCTGATGGTGCAGCTCAAGCAGCAGGCGGCTCAAGAGGTTTTGCAGCCATTGGCTATCGCTGCAGTTCATGGCCTTGACAGAATGACAAGGTGGCTCCGGGACGCTGCTGACCTTTCCCCTGGGCTGGGGCAAGCGAGCGAGCGGGCAGGTGGGCCGATAGACCGAGATGGCAACAGCGGTAGAATCCTCCCCTGGGACGGCGTGTAATGGCTGGGGTCTCAGAGGCCAGCCTCCTTATCCCCTCACCCTTGCCCTCCTCCCTTTCTCCACCACGCCCCCTCCGGGCTGAGGCCGCCTCTTCCCAACCTTTGGCTGTTGGCTGCTTGGGGGAAAGGGAACAGCTGGTAGAGCGAAGAAAAGGCAACAAGGGAGGGGGCGAGCCAGGAGGAGAAGCAGAGGAGGCAGCGGGGGCTCGGAATGTGTGAGGCTCTAGGCAGCACAGGCTAGCAGGGCAGCTCCCTGGGGCCAAGCTTGAGACCCTGGGCTGCAAAAGAGAATTCCTTCCAATTTCTGACCACCTGCCCAGCAGGCCTGGCTTTGGCCCAGCTACAGCAGCTGGACCCCCAAGACAAGATCTGCCCTGGGACACTCAAGCAAATTCTCAGATGCTTGCCAGAAGCAGAGACTCCCTTGCCCAAATCTTTTGGGAATTACTGCCATAGACAAGGCCCTTGGCCTCTTTCTAGTCCTCATCCTACCCCCACCCCTGTCTGAGGAAAGCATCTTATCCTACAGATGCTCAGGGTAAATTCTGTGCCTGAGTGGTCAAGTACTTGTTTAGAAGCCAAATGCAGAGCATGACTCCAAGGGTGTTTAAAATGCTTGCTGACTGTACACCAGCCTCCTGGGAAATATCCTCGCTTTGATCCCCTATCACACTTTTTCAGGGAACCCACACATCTTAGCACATGAGTGTACCTCCCACGATGTGATCTTATTTCCTTCGGGTACATCATCTTCCCAGAATTGAAACCAAGTCTTCCATTAAGATGAATAGGAACAAAGAAAAGCTAAGGGGGGGCGGGGACCGAGGCGGAGAAGCAGAGGAGGCAGCGGGGGCTCGGAATGTGTGAGGCTCTAGGCAGCACAGGCTAGCAGGGCAGCTCCCTGGGGCCAAGCTTGAGACCCTGGGCTGCAAAAGAGAATTCCTTCCAATTTCTGACCACCTGCCCAGCAGGCCTGGCTTTGGCCCAGCTACAGCAGCTGGACCCCCAAGACAAGATCTGCCCTGGGACACTCAAGCAAATTCTCAGATGCTTGCCAGAAGCAGAGACTCCCTTGCCCAAATCTTTTGGGAATTACTGCCATAGACAAGGCCCTTGGCCTCTTTCTAGTCCTCATCCTACCCCCACCCCTGTCTGAGGAAAGCATCTTATCCTACAGATGCTCAGGGTAAATTCTGTGCCTGAGTGGTCAAGTACTTGTTTAGAAGCCAAATGCAGAGCATGACTCCAAGGGTGTTTAAAATGCTTGCTGACTGTACACCAGCCTCCTGGGAAATATCCTCGCTTTGATCCCCTATCACACTTTTTCAGGGAACCCACACATCTTAGCACATGAGTGTACCTCCCACGATGTGATCTTATTTCCTTCGGGTACATCATCTTCCCAGAATTGAAACCAAGTCTTCCATTAAGATGAATAGGAACATTAATAAGGGTCTGTAACTATACTCTCTAGATATTTCAGGATCTGAAAAGAGCCAGTTCTAGAAAATATGCTCACCTCACTCCCAGTTAGATGGGTTGATAGCTACATGACTTTCCAGGGCTTGTTAATAGGGCTAGGCTTTGATGGCTTCTAGGGCAGCTATTTTCTCACAGGAAGTGTCTTTTATTTTAGGGGAAATTAAGGCACTAAGACAAAGATCAGTTATGTTAAACTACATTAAACTGAAAACAGACCAGTCTTCACAAAGGAAAAAGTTGATGTATACTTGATGAGGTAGAAAAAAATGAGGAAGTCCTCGTAAAATCTACTTGTATATAGTTGCCAAATGAGAAAAGAAGGAAAGGAAAGTATGCACATTTTCAAAACCAAGCAACCAATTCAAGACCTTTTAGACCGTGGACCATTCAAATCGAAAGTGCCATGGATTTTTAAATTGAAGGTTTCTGGTACCTCTGCCCCAGTCAACCTATATTATCTTACTATCTACTCAGGGCCTGCAGCCACCTGTGTACTGAAGTGAGTTTAGCAACAAACTGTAATCACGATCTCAAACAAAGCCTCACTTCACAACCACTATCCAGGCGTCAGAGACATTCCACGTGATCCTGACCACTGCTTCAATGCTGTCAACTCAGAGGGGCTGGGGGAAAACTGTTAAAGTGACTTGGCAATGCCAAAGATCATAGCCGGAATGTTTTCAAAGCAATACCAGTCTGCTATGATATGACTTTTGAACTAAAATACTCTTATTTTCTGTTAAAACATGCCCCCAGGGCCTGGGATTTAGCTCAGTGGTTCCACTGCCTGCCTCTCAAGTGCAGGCACAAGGACCCGAGTTTGATCCCCAGGACCAAAAACGAAACAAACAAACAAATGCCCCCATATACCTAGAGATGTGGGAGGAGATTTTTCACTGTATCTTGAAGAGTAATCATTGAAACTTGTACTTTTCAATAGCTTTGTGCACTGGTAGCATGTCTTTCTTCTCAAAAATGGAAACAAAGGTTCAGATTGATCAGGTGACATAGCAGGATTAGAATTGTAAAGTTTGATCTTATTCTTGGTCCTACCACATTATGCCCGACACATGGATTGTATCCATGAGTTCCGTCCATTTCCCCACCTTTGTCTCCTTCTAGACTACAGTGCTTTCTGCCAAAACTCTTCTCTTCAAGTCTATCAGTGACCTCTTGGCCAAATTCAAAAGTCTCTGAACAGTTGCCTCTTTGATCTCAAGGATGAATTTGATAACACCAACGACTTTCTCCTTCCTGTAGCTGTCCTACCCTTGGTTTTCATGGCTTTGTGTTCTCAAGTTTCTCTTTTTATCTGACCCATAATTCACTATCCTTGCTGACTTCTCCTCCCTTGCCAAAGACTCCTGCAGTGAGTCTCTATTCCCCACCTGCCCATTGTGTAACGCAGGGTTGAAGAAAAACTTGACAGAGTTAAAGAGAATGTGTGAACTAGGATGGTTAGTGCTCCTTTGGCAAAAGGCACTGTCCCGTGTCCTCCACCGAATTTCATTATTCATCAATTAGGGAAAAGGTGCAATACGTGTATAGATGTGTGATATGTGAAAGTAGCATAGAAACTGATGCAGACAAGGCTTTAAAGAGAAGTCAAAGCATTTTTCAAATTAGGAACAGAATAGACAAAATGTATGGTTGTAATTGAAGCATTGTCCTTCAAGCTATAAAGGCACTAATTGTGGGAATGGAATTTGGGTGTTATTACTCCTCAGTTACAGATGTAATCTCATATTAGCCCCCTTAGCTTCATAGGCCATTACTCTGGTCTCAGCTGTGGCCATGAGTGAGAGTTCATGCTAACCTGCATGCTGGTGTATTGCTCATGAGATAGTTCTGTTGCTTTAGTCAGGCTCACTTCTTAAAGTAAGGCAATGGAGGGGTTTAACTCTTTGCAGCCTGCACTGCTTACAGCATGCTTTGGACATAATCAATATTGTGGGCTCTGGTACTCCCTTCTCCCATTAATTGTTGGAATCCTCAAAGACATAATCCTGTTATTCTGTCTAACAAATGTCTCCTTACATGGTTTCATCTACTACCTGGCATATATTTAATGAAATTTAAATCTCTATTTCTGACTCTTCTTGGTAGCATCTCTCAGATTCCTCTACTTCTTCATTTTTGGTTTTATCAGCACATGCTTAATCCAAGCTTTCATTGCTTTAAGTCACATATGCAGACTGAGAATCTCTTGGCAGATCTCCCTGCTTACTATGCATTCCACCATGCTTTGGATAGAATAATTATCTTCCAACACCTCTATCATTTCAGAAACCTAGCTGCTTTTCATTGCTTTTTCAATGGAGCCCAATCTTAACAACAATAGGCACTATCTCCTCCTTTAATCTGGAAAAACAGCCTACTCCAGAGATACTCTCCAGTACTCAGTTCCTTTTGCCTTCCTCAAAATTCACTGCCTGAAGGAAGCTTTGCTCCATGGCTTACTTGTACCCTCAGAGCCTTCACAATGCATCTCTACTGGCTCTACCCTAACAGATTTGTAGTATTCAACGCAGAAAATTGGAAAACACATAAAATCACTAAGGAAAATGATTAGGAATAGTGTGCATGTATGTGCCCCCCCAATGTGCACACAGTCACCTACACAGTCACACACTTTTTTTTGTTTCATGGTCTATCTTTCTTGCTTAACCATTGTGAACTTTTCCTACGTCACTAGCTCTTTTTCTATAACATTTTGTTGTCTATATAGCATTCCAAACTGATCTACTATCATTTAATTTGGCCTCAGATTTTTCACTTTAAAAGTACAGTTTCAATGAATACATACAAGGTTAGATATTTTTAATTTTACTAAAAACAATTACCAGAGAGAAAGCAAATTACTAATTTATAAAAGACTATCATAGAGAAATATGCATAAGAAGGTGGTAACAGAAATGGAGAATAGTCATAAAATGTAAAAGGCCCAACCTTCAGAAGTGAAAACGCAGGTGTGAGAGGGGATTCTAGCTTTCTTTTTGCACCAGGGGTGGCTTGGCATCCCTTCAATCTCAGTCCCAGGTAAGCCTTGGATGGCAGAACTGCCACCCTCTTTCCCGACAGACTTAGAACTGTCAATCCATCAGACCGGAATCGGTTCTTATTCCTCCTCATCTTTCCACCTTCTTTCCATCCGTGCTCCATACTTATCCAATAACCACCAGTTTATCTATCATCTATTTAGGATTAATTTATTTGAATCCTAATTGAATGGTAGTATTGATAAGGGAAGTAATTTAAATCATATATTTAGACTTTTGGTTTTTTTATTGAATTTATTGGTACAATCTAGGTATACAATACTGTTACATTCATTATTGGGATCTTGTACCTTTACATGACAGGTCTTGGTTCTCATTTTTGCCCTTGTCCCTGCCCTCCCTTCACCCCCTCCTCCCTTCCCCAGCTACAAAGACTTTGATTCCATTTTTATATTTTCTCATATTTTTTCCCTTTCCCTTATTCCCCTTCCCCTATCCTTCTCACTGTCCCTACATCTTAGCA